TTCCATAAAGTAGGGGCAGCAACAGAGAAAGAGCAAGAGCCATATGTTTTCATGGAGTAAGGTTTAACAGATAGGAGTAGTTCTTTAGAGGACCRGAGCGTTCTTTTAGGTTTGTATAYAGAGATCAGTTCAGAAATGTAAGATGAATTATGCAGCAGTAAAAAAGATAAAAATTAAAGGTATTACAAAAYATTTCTGACGTCAAAGCTGYATTGTTGACGCTTTRCTTTTATTRAAAATAGCGGTTTCAAAAGTTCCATGATGTTTTACAGTAAAKCCTCCCACGCCTGGGACCGAGACCTGGGACTTTCTAGAAGGATAATAGGGTGACAAGTACAATAATACATAACAAAAAAATCATGAAAAAAAACATAGAAAGAAAATGAAGAAAATTGTCAATTCTTAATATTCAATAAAATATAAACAAGTGTAAAAACATTTTCTAGCAGAAAGTAGCATTCATCATAGCATGATGGTCAGACAGCTCTGGATTTAGCCGTGGGGGATTTCGCAAGAAAAATATCATGGTGCTCAAAAAATAATCATTATCGAAACTATGAAAGGCCCGGGTGGGATGAATTGATTCACAGCTTGTTCACGAAGTATATTTGTTTAGAATAGATTTTCTTGAATATAATTAAATATTGAGTTTTCTTAAAAATTTTCATATTTCAAAATATTATTATAWCTTCGTATTCCGGATTCCAAAAAATCATCAAGTTGATAACAGTTTACAAATTCCCAGGGTGTTCTCAACAAATTGTTTCCACCTGTACCTCACATGTATGCTAACAACAAATATGCCTGAGTAAAAAAGCTTTTTTAAATGCATATACCGTAATGAAACGCAGTTGACTAGATAAGACCACAAGAAAGTAAACAAAACACCTGCAAACGTTAAACTCCATTAGCAACACATGACAAATGCATAATCCGTTTACGCTAATAAACCTGACACTGGAAGAGCAGCAAAAAGTACTAAAAAAAATCCAATTAACACTAAGCACGGATCCAGGGGGGAGTTACTACAAGGTGAAAAGTCACCCGCGGCTGGCCTTCCTCCAGCTTCCCGTTTGTTTCCGAAGAATATTGAAAATTATATAAAACTAAGATTTAAAAGTATAATAACAGTTTACAAATTCCCAGGGTGTTCTCAACAAATTTGTTCTACATGTAGCTTACCTTTAAGTTAAAATGTTCAAACGCAAGGTCGTCGGTCAAACTATTGCTTGGGGTAAACTGATCGGAAGGTAGAAGTTCACAAACATGGAAATTGCTCTTTTCTGGAGTTGTCTTGAAATTACCTGATTGGCACCAATCAAGCTCTTTGCACTTTCCTAAACATTCCATCATGTTGCTGACTTGAACGAAGTACTGTTTGGCTGTGCTTGGGACATTTAACTTTTTAAGGAGATGATAATCAAATAACAYCAACTTAAATTGGTCTTCAGTTYTGATGTTTTGCACTCCAGAAAGCAAAGCAAGCAGGATTAAMATCATCTCCAWGAAAGTCGTCATCCCGACAGAGTTTACCCGAAAGAACTTATTAAAAAACTATGAAAATTGCATCAATCAATGTCKCACTTTATATGAAGAAATCTCTTTGTGATGCTGACATTAATTCTCACATGATCCAGATTCTTCTTATTCATAATTGGATGCTATGGGAAAACCCTGTTTTCACTACAGCTTCTTTGATTTCATATCTTTCTTTTATCATGGATAATAAAAGCACTGGGTGCTTTTATTATCCATGTAAGTATATATACTGTTTTGCGCGCGCTGTTACAAATGAAATGCAAGAAAGATAAAAAAATTAATTAATTATTGAGGAAGCATAAATAGCTTCCAGGCACTATCGCGAAACAGTTTGATTTCAATGCGGTTTTGTTTTTGTAACGTCTTTGTGTTCCCTGAAGATGACCACTTAGGTAGAAAGCTTGGAATAAATTGTTGAAATTAAAACTACTTCTAAATATTATTTTGTTGTTGTTTTGCTTCTTTGTAGGGCGGTTGGCAGTTTACAGATTCTGACTATTTGTTTTTGACATTAATAAAAGTGAACTTTAAATTTCACTTTTTTAAAAAGTTTTTCTTTATCTTGCCTTAAATAAAGTTAAATTATTTGTTGTTGAAAAGAAATCAAAGTTCACGACTGATTTGAATGACTTCCAACGTGCGATTTTATTTCAACTTATAGCTACAATGAAGAACATGAATGCAAATATTTAACTTGTGGTTAATCACACCAAGGTGCACACTAATTCCCATAAAGGATGCATATTTTGTACGATGTGAATGATTCATGCAAAAGGCCTCCTATTGTCTATAATCATTATCTACATTTTAGTCTCCATTTCTACGGTCTTTCTAGATAGGCATAAGGATTAAAAACGAAGCAGTCTATTCCTGTGAATATATGAATATATAACATTTTATACAACTTTTCAGTAAAATCAGGCGTTTTGATTGGTTGGCTTTCGTGTGTTATCAAAGTATAGATACACGGATTACGTCAAAACTAATTGTTTGTTGTATAAAACAGATAGATCTCATTTTTCCGTGCGTSTGTACTCTAATAGATACACAGATGACGTCAAAATGTAGTGAGAAAAACAGTCACGCACTCGACTGCGTCTCGTGCGTACTTTTTTGAGATCTAATGAGATCTATTTGTTAAACAGCGGAAATCGTTGCAGCGCGACCTCTTTGTTTTGAAGTTTKTCTGGATTTTGTTCTTTCTGTCAATCTGAGGGCCGGAGATTTTCGAAAACTCGTTCAATCATTGGCTGATTAGTATCAAGCTCCGCCCCCAAGTCGCAGAAAAACCTAAATTCAAACTATTTCCTTTGAACATTGAAGTCGCGATGCAACGGTATCTGCTGTAACAGATAAAAAGATTTCATGACATTTTGAAGATACGAATTTGATATTTTCGTGTTGAATGTCTCTACGCTCACTCGTGAGAGATCGTTTAACACTCGAAGGATAAAATCAGTATCTCCGCGCGGCTCCAAGTATAATATCCTCTATGATATTGATGACGACGAAAGTGATTACTTGACACAAATGTATTTATTGCTGTGTCCACAGTTTAAGTTATTTTATCTCATCATTTTTTTTGTATTCTGAATTCTCATTAAAATAAGACAATCAAAGATACGATAAGAACCAAAAAAGTCTAGTCTAGCGAATCTTGCCGGATAT